AAAATCGGGGTAACGAGACCCATAATGCTTTCGTGCCAAAGGAGAAACAGGGACAGGGAAAAGGGGGCAAGCCCCCTTCCTCCGAACTCAGCCCCTTCAGCTGCAGCAGAGGAGATGACGGAAGGACCTTGGGGGGAACAGCTTCTATTGAAAAAGCTGTTTCTTAGCTGGTAGAAAATGGTGTAACGAGAGCTGGGAGAGCCGAGGAAGGGCATTTTTGAAGTGACAGGGCCAGCGGAGGCAGAGAACTCAGGCCTGCGAGCCAAGAGAGGCAGCATGTCCCAGGGACTGGCAGCACCAGCCTTTGGCCACTGGGCGGCAGCTGGCGGTGAGCAGGTGCTTAGATTCCTCGCTGCAAGGCTGGAAAATTGCTCCAGCCACGAAGCTGGGGGGCCCCACCTGGACCCCCTTCCGTGGGGAGGCCTGCACTGGCTGCCTTTCCACAGCATGAGAGAGACTTCGGAGGAGGGCTCCCGAGGGCGTTGTGGTGGAGCAAGAAGGGATGGGGCCCACGCAGGCGTTGCATGTCCGGCACCTTCCCTCCCGCTCCGAAGTGCCGCTGCGAGGCAGCCGAAACCAGCCCTCAAGCGCTCTGAAGGATGCAAAGAGCGTGAACCCAGCCTCCGGCTCCACGCCCCTGCTTGCCCCAGCACGCCCAGAGGGTCACGGGCTCCCCAGAGGGGATACCCCCCGGCTGGGCTTTGATCTGGCCACGGAGGCTCTGTGCGCAGCGCAGCAGCTTCAGCCTCAGTGCGCAAGGCCAGCCGGCCTCTGGCGACTTGGCTCGGCCTCCGGTCAGCGTTTGGGAACTGCACCGGCTCTCCTGCCGCGAGCGACAGGGCGGTCTCCCCAGAGGAACGGGCCACCTCGGCTGCCGGCAGCGCTTTGCCAGGCCACTGACAGAAGAAGCATAACCCAGGATCTATTCTGGGCTCCGGCCTGTCTCCAAAGATCAGGTTTCCAAAAGCCAAGCGGCACCCCAGGGAGAGACAACGCAGCACAAGTCCCTCGGGGAGGAGTGGGGCTCCCCCGCCACGCTGCCCTGGGAGCCTGTCGGAGGAACAGCGCGCCTGCGACCATCCGGCCTCTCTGGAAGCCAGGGGGGCCAGGGCAGCAGCCCCCCAAAGGGCATTTTACTGCCCGAGGCAAAGGACAAGGCGCACCTCAGCTCCTGGCCTGTCCGCATGCAGGAGCTGACGGGGCCGGCAGGTGAGCCTCACCTCAGCTCCTGGCCTCCTGCACACCTGAGGGAGCAGGTCAGTCCAGGAAGCCCCCCTTTGGGCTGTGCGGCAAGCACAGCTCTGCCCTTCAGCAAAGGGGGAAAGGCCCGTGCCCCGAGGCTGGTGCCTGCGGCCTCTGCCTCACGCTGCCCCACGCAAAGCACCCTGGAAGGGCTGGGCGGCAGGGCCAGAGGAGCCGGAAGTCTGCCTCCCCGGCGCAGAACACGGGACGTGACGCTGAGCAGCGCCTCCCCAACCTGACGCCCCCCAGATGCGTCGGATCACACCTCCCATTATCCATCGCCAGGACGGGATGATGTGAACCGAAGTTCTGTCATCTGGACAATGACAGGCCAGCCGGGTCCGGGTCAGACCGTGGAACCGGGACCAAGAACACCCGGGCTCAGACCCCCACCTACTCACGGAACCAGGGGGGTAAATTCGGGCCGGTCGCTGCCTCTCAGTCTCATCTATCCCACTGGGTAACGGTGAAGACGAAACTTGGGGGGGTGACCCATGGCTATCACCCTGAGCTTCTTCGAGAAAGCAGGGGCGTGCAGAATCAGGTGCGGCACGGAGAGAACCTCTCCCTCTCCGGGAACACCTGAGCCCAGCGGAGCCACGCCAGGGAAGCTCGGTGGGGAATCCAGAGCCGCTAAAAGGAACCTGTCGTTGCACAGCAGGGAGTTCAGCTGCGGCATGTGGCTCTGGAGGTGCCGAAATGGGCGTCTTGAAATAGGGCCTGGGCACATCCGTAGAGGCCACCCGTGGCTACCCCTCCGGATGCCTGCGTGCCACCTTGGGGGTCCCGGGCTGGGTGGCCGTGGGCAACGGAGGCGGGGGAATTTGGGCGGGAGAGCTGTCACACTCCTAACCTGCTCTGTACGCCACACGTACTCAAATACTCTTGTTTGATGGTGTCGCTTAAGCCATGTATATATAAGCAAATATATATAAGGAGCTAAAATGGACACGCACCACATGCTTCGACACCCTCCGAGCGAGATGTGAAGTTACTGCTAGTTTCTAGCAGGCCTCTGTGCGGATATGCAAAGACCAAAATAAAAAGGGCTGGGGTAATGCTGTAATTAGGCAATCACATTAATTAATTTGCTGGATTTCTTGATAGGCCGCATCTCAAGAGCGAAGGCGCCGAAGATCAAGGGTGCTAAATATATCCCGCGTTTGGGATGAAGGTGAATTTTGAAGATTGCAAAAGGCTGGTGGAATGCTTACATTTGTATATTGATAAGAGGAGAAATATTATGAAGGTCACGTTTTTTCTTTTAAAATAGCTGCCCAAAGCAGCCCGAACGCCTATTGATTTCCCGGCAAGACTAGCATTTGATTTGTGTCTGCAGATATGAAAGGAGATTCGCAGAAAACATCAGCATTTTCTGAACTAGGGCAAAACTCAGCAGAGGCGGGACAGACCCTGCAATCCTCGATAAGTCTACTCAGGGGGAAGTTCCGCTGCATTCGGTGCAAGAGGCTTCAGATAAGTCAGGGGGTGCAGCGGGACCCGCCTCAGCAGGTGTGGGTCTGGGTGTCACAGCCCCACCCCCGGCTGGCGGCCGTGGCCTCGCTGGGGCGATCACACACGCTTTCGGCCCTGCCAGGCGGGGGTGGTTCTGGGACCGCAAAAGCTACGCTCAGCAAAGCGCTGGTCGAATGACTCCACACAGGAGCGCATTAAAAGTGTGTGTGTGGACGGGGAGGGGGGTATGGCCCCTGCTCCCCTCCAAGCAGCGCTTAAATGCAGCCAGCGGTGGGCGACCGGGCTTGGGCGTGGGTTTGGCAGCAGGACGGGCTCCCACCGGCTGCCCATCGCCGGCCGGAGCCGCAAGCGAGCATCAAGCGCTGCAGTTGCCAGCTGCCGCCTTTGCTCTTTAACAGAGGTGCTCCTGTCTCGCCACTGCTGCCCCACAGACAGGTCATGGCACAGGACAGGGGCGGGGGGGGTGTGACCCACAGATCATACCTCCCCCTGCCCCGACGGACAGCAAGATGGCCCCCGGCTGGGGAAGGCTGCTCTGGGTTGAGGTGCTTGGGCCATACTTTTCTGGCGCCACATCATGCCTGACATGGGTGGATGCCACCGAGCCCAAAGTCTGCCTTGCTCCCGTCGCGTCCCACCGGCCCTGGGCTGCCGGCTCCCTCCCAGAGGCTGGTTGCCCCCTCTGCACTAGTCTGTGCCCCAGGCGGGAACGGAGGGCCAAGGCAGCCCACCCCTGCGGTGCGGTCGTGTGCCGTGCCCTTTGGCTGGGGCTGAGCACACGGAGCCCCCCGCGCGAGGCACGACAGCGGCCGCGCATACAGAAGGCCCCCCGCCCGTTCCCGGCATCAGCAGGCCCTTCCCTGCTTTCCAGCACCTGCCCACGCCGACGCTCCCTGGGCCGGCTCTCAGCTGGCCGGGGCTGGCAGCCACTCCACGCTTGCGGCCCTGCTGGCCTCCTGGGCGAGAGACCGGAAGGGCAGGCCCTGAGGGGGCGAGCCCCGCTCCCCAAGGAGTCCCCCGTGGCCGGCAGCTGCGTGGATTCACACCGACCAAACCAGTTCCATCTCGGCGAGAAGCGGGTCTTGAAAAGCTAGTGGGTCTCGGGGTGCGAGTCTGGGCATGCTCAGGCAGAGGAGTGCCCAGGGCTCCCCAGACTGCCAGCTTGTTCAGACCAGGCCACCCCAAAATTCTTGGCACGTCGATCCCAGGGAGCGATAAAATGTTCCTCGGGAGACGCATCACCCCTCAGCCCCAGGCGCCATGAGGATTGTGGCTGCACTCAGAGGAAAGAGGGCCTTCCGAGGGGGTCCCCTTGACACAACCAGGGGCCAGTCCTGCAGCCCCACGAGTCCGGGGCCGCAGCACCCCCAGGCGGCTTCATTCACCCACAGACCCCCTCCAACCCCACCAAAGACTGCCCACATCAGGAGCCAATGAAAGCGGGCAGTTTTAGCGCTGCCTCTGAAAGAACGCACGCACGTAAAGAGGCTTTCTTTCCCTTCTTTTCCAAAACGCCGTGCCCGCTTCAGCTGAGATGAATCACCCCTGTCTCCCCGCTACCCAGCTAGGGGGCTTCTGGACAAGGCCTTTATCTTGAAACTGCCCTGCTCGGCCATGGCCTTTCACGGGGTGGGAATTTCACACCGTGCCACTGTCCACTTGAAAGCCACGGTGCTTCCGTTTTTCAAATTTCATGCACAGGGAGAAAGCCCTGAAGAAGGAAATGGGGAATAGTTTCGCAATACCTTTGGATCAGCAGGGCTAGGAGCTCTGTGCTGGTTGGCACCCGAGAGTCCAACCCAAGGCATGCTTAGGAGAAAAGCCCCAGAGTTCCTGGGCTGCCCGGGGAATGCTGGGAGTCGGGATCTTTTGCCGTCTCAACAGGCGCTCTGAGTCTCTCTTCCAGCCGCCCCCAACCTGTTGCCCCACAGCCATGTCCACCTGCAACTCGCCCCTCCGGCGCACACGCCCCCCCTGCAAAGCCATCATTGCAAACTCTGAAGCACAGCCAAGGCTGCATGGAAAAATCCACCTCCAAAGCCTCCCTGCAACTCACTTCGCCTCCCCACTCAAGTCCAGAGCTTCACGTATTTCCTAGAAAATGAAATGCATCAAAACTGAGCACAGGAGGGAAGACGATTAATTAACTAATGGCAGGGCACGCTGGCTGAACGGGCGTCGAGGCCTCCGTCCTTGCCAAGAGCCGTCCTGTAAAGGCTGCATTTTTGCAAGGCGGAGGGACACCCGGGTCTCTCGAAAAGGCGCTCACGGTTTGCCCTCACCTCATGCAGCGTGGATGGGAAGGTGGTCTCCTGCAGGCAGAACTGCGGCACGCACTGGAAAGTGACGGTGAGCACGATGCCCAGGCAGCCCAGGTGGACGCAGGCGGCCTGGTGCAGGTCCGGATTCACCGTTTTGGAGCATTCCAGGATTTCCCCCGAAGCGGTCAGCAGGGTCAAGGCCACCACCTGCCAGGGGAAGGTTGGAGAAAGACGGGGTCTGCTTCAGGTGGTGCTGCAGACAACCCGTGGCACGCACCACCCGAGCTCTGCGTTGCGTTCAGCACGGAATGCGTTGCGCACTGGTGTGTCCATCCCGGGCTCCTCCCGTGAACGGAGCCTCACCCGTGTCCTTTTCTCTTCAGAGGAGGCTATTTTCCCCCGCTGCACCACCAAATCCGAGCAGCAAACTGGGCTGCAAGAAAGGCCAGGGGTGCAGGTGCCCCGCGAACCCTATGTCGGCCTCCTCCATCTAAACCAGGGCCACGGAGCTGGCTTTCCATACCGTCCACCAATCCTGCCATCTTCCGCCTCCCTCGTTTCCTATGCAGCCCTTGCGGGAACATTCGTGCGCCATGAAGTTGTGCGATGTGAATTGTCCCCCAGACCAAAGTTTGTGTGAAATTTCTACCCGGCCAAAATTAAGGTGTAAGGTTTTGGTACTAGTCTAGAAAGCCCTGCTAAACTTACCTCCCACCTGGGGGCCTTCCAGCCGCAACTGGACAGCCACCTGAGATGGATGGTTTGGCCTGGAGACCGACGCTAAGCAGGGGGTTGGACCTGCTGGCCCACCGGCCCCTCCCAAACCCACCCTCCCAAACAAGAGGCCCCGGTGGACTAGCCCCCTTTCTGGGGAACCCCCTGCCCCTGGAAGTCAGGTGCGTGCCAGCATCACCTGGTTTTCTGCACCTCCTGAAGCCATTTTTATTTCAGGACGTTTTCTTGCTCTAGCGCTGGTTTTATCGATCTGGTTTTCAACGTACTGCTCTGTACGTTCACTAGTTTTATCTTTTACTGTTCACCACTCCAGTATCTCTGCACTGAAATAGGGAGCAGGATATAACTCTTGGAAATAGATAAAATAAGAAATAAATCAAAACCAGTGACTCCTTGGCAGGATGACCATACTCCAAACTGGTAACTTGATGGCTTTTAAAAAATGGTTCTTTTGCATCAAAATTTTAAGTCAAAACCTGGTTCCTCCCAGGAGCACAGCTGCTTCCCAACAAGGGTGCTCGCCCCACGCGGGTGTCCCCACCCCTGCGTCTTCCGTCTTTTTCCGAGGCCAAAGCGCTGCGACAAAGAGACCGACGGCCTGCAAAGCCATGCGCCTGGATGGTGGAGCTGGGTGCCCGACCAGGCGTGGCTGCAGGTTTCCTTCGAAGTGGGAACCCACGGGAGCCAGCCTGGGAACTATGGAGTGTCCGGGGACTGCCCGGAGAGACCCTCGGGGCTTCCCCTGCCCCACTGGCGGCATCCTGGGGCCTAGCCTGCCCCAGGAGGGGCTTCTCCAGGGCCTGAAGTCACAGCTCTGCTCAGCCCCGCCTGGCTCCTCTGGGATGCCAGCTCTCAAGATCTTCCCCGGCAGATGCCAGCAGAGAGCTGAGGCCGGGCCAGACTCCCTACCCGGACCAGGCTGCCAAGCAAACCTTCTCCAGCTCCACGTCTGCTTTACTCGCACCCTCACCTGCCCGCCTGGACGGAAATTACTTTCTGGTGTCCTGATGGCCTGTTTGTACGCCAGCTCAATGTGGACCCACGGCGCAGATTTGGCTGCGTTCCCCCTTAACGAGGGTGATGCTAGTGGTGGGTTCTGTTTTCCCCAAAGGGGAAGAGAAGGCGGGGGACAAGAGCTTGGAGACCTCGAACCAGGCATGGCAGCTGCTGGCCCTTCCCTCTGGATAGGTAATTTTCGGAAGAGACAACAAGCTCCAGGGAAATCACACAGAAGGTAATTGAAAGAGCCTTCCCATCGCTCCGCAACGTTTGCAGCTGAGCCGTCTGTCCTCTCCAGGTGTAGCCACTGTCACTGCCACACATGTCCGCTCACTCGGCGCAGAGCTCTGCATCGCTCACAAGCTTGCCAATTGTTTATTTGTACGCACAATTATGGGCAACTGCTCCCCCCACCACCAAACTCTTGCACCTCGGTCCAGGGCAATTCACATTACCAACCTGCAGCACTTGTGGGTGTTCCTGGAGGGGCTGCATGGAAAAGAGGCGATGCAGAAGTCTCAGTCGCAAAAGGTGTGGCCTCGTTCAGTGCGGTGCGCAGTGGCTAAAAGGCACTGCAGAGCAAGGGGGCCGGGGGAGCAGCCCCCCACGGGGAGGAGCTGCAGCCTCTGGGATTCTTTAGCACTGAAGAAAGGCAAGCAGCAGGGACTGGGGAGGCCCACAGAATGAGGCCACGAGTGGGGAAAGTGAGTCGGGAGAGACGGTCCCCCCCTGCTCATAATAGCCAAACCCAAAGGGGTCACATCCCCTGAAGCTGACTGGGGGTGCGGGGTGGGGGAGATTCAGGGCAGATCAAAGAAAGGACCCCTTCGTACAGTGCAGAGTGAAAAGGCACCCTGCTGTCACAAGTTTTAATTAATGTAAACTGGCCTTCCTTACAAGGTGGCTTCCAAGATCAGCACAACGCACAATGGGATAACGGGGCGGGGGGGGGGGCTGTTTTGCTCTTAAATCCGGCTCCTCAAACACACCCTTCCCTCCGACCACGGGGGCCTGGCGCCTTCCGGGTTGCGTGCGCTTTTTCCGCACCGGAAGGTCGAATTGCCTCTCCTAAGGCAGGGCGAGTGGGGCTAGGAGAGGCGGACAGGTCGGCCCCTTCGGCCCCCCCATCTCGTGGGAGACCCCAAGGGAGCCCCCGAGGGGGGCTGCCGCCAAATGGCACGGAGACCCCCCAGCCTGAAAGAGCGTCAACCTCCTTGGATCAAGGCCGCCCCCCCCCCCTTGCAGGGACACCGGCCACGCAAAGCAATTTCCCTGGAGCTTCCCGCAAGGGGCACACCGCGCCCCTCGCCCCCCGCCCCCTTTATTCGCCCCCAGCCCCGCCGCCCCGGGCCGTGTGCCCCTGCTTTCCCGCGGGCCCCGTGGCTGCTCGTCATTCACGGGTTTGCACCGTGCTCCGTTGCCGGAAGGCCGTTCAGACAATCCATTTGCGCCACCCCCGCGGTGGGAAGGGCGATTCGCTTTGCCAGCGGCCTTGAGAGGATGGGAACGACCCCGTCAAATGGGGGGGGCGAGGGGCTGGCAGGAGACCACTGCGCCCCACCTGAGCAGGGCAGCCCCGATCCCCGCTTCCAAGCCCCTCGTGCCAGGGGGACCCCGGCCCTGGGACGCGCCAGCATTTCCGGCCTGCCTCCGGGGCGCCTTTGGCCCTGCGCTGGGACGCGAACGCGCCCGATGCCCGCGGGTCCAGTTTCATCAGGACAGGGTGCATTCACCTTGCAGGCTCCCGAAGCCCCTGCTGCTGGAAGGCGTTTCACTAACCCGGGCCCCTCAGATCTGAATGCTGGCCATCCTGGCTGGGGCTGATGGGAGCTGAAGCCCAAAGCAGGCACAGGCACCTGGTAATAGCTCAAAACAGCTCCCTGACTTTGGGAGGCAGGAGAGGTGCGTGGCCCTCCAAAGTCCCGACACCCCACCTCTTCTCCTCTTCCAAGGAAGCCAAGGGGCTCCTTCCTGTTCTACCTTCCTCCTTTCTTTGGTCCTGTGAGCCCGAGTCCTGAATCTTTTCAGCACCCAGCACCTGCTCTGGAGGACGCCAGCAAAAAATGGACTTGCCAGGGCCCTGCATCAGTGGGGTGCCAGCCCCACCTCCATCGCACCCCCTGCATGATGGAGAGCATGTGACATGCCCAGAAGCCTGAAGGCCTTGCAAAAGAGGGGTCTGCCTCTGCCCCCCTCGCGCTGCCCAGTGCTTCAAGTGGCCCCCCAGCTGCTTTGCCCCTGTCTCAGGCAGCGGGTGTCTTGGGCCAGCCCTGGCTGTGAAGGCTTGGCTCGCTTCCTGCTCCACACTTCTCCTAAACGCGCCAGTCCAGAAAGGGGCAGTAAGGCCCCAAGACCAAAACCTGAGCCCAGAGGGAGCCCTGCAGGCTGAGCTCAGCCCCCCCCCCCCGCAAGTGGGGCACGCCTGGATTCTCGAGGGCAGCTGCTTCTTGGTGGAAAAGTGAGTGGGAATCGACCCATACGGGGAGGGCCAAATGAGCCCACTGCAGCTTTCTCTCTGGCACGCTGGCGCTTGGTGAACTTACCCCGAGATGCCCTCCCTCGCGCCCACACTCGCTTTCCACCTTTCCCGCTCCCATTCCTTGATTTCTAGGGGGATCTGCCCAGCGCCCGTGAAATATGGCAGTTCTCTTTGCATATGTGAGCAAATGTCCTCCATGAATACTTGGAGCAAGAAAAAATGATTAGAAAATACCTTGAATGCATTTTCCAGGCACCTTAAATCTAGGAAAGGCTTCTAATGATCCCATCCCTGTCAAATTACCATCTGCTCGACTTATTGTTCTCTTGCCACTTCACTGATCTTATCGGACTCGCCCCATTTTTTAAAAAAGATAAAGACACATCGGTTTATATGACAAACTTGTTTGGCTGCCTCGGCAAAAAGCACTATCACAAAATGCTGGCTCTGGGATAGCGAAGTGTGTGAAGGACGGTGTGAAATTCCTGCCTCAAACTGCATGCGACTACCCTGGCTTCCGGCACTTGGCCCAGATCTCTGTGGGGCTGAGCGAGTTTTACTTGGGGTGTGGGGCAGCCGGGGGTCACAGGGACGCTGCGGCACTGACACTTTTTCTCCCGGCATCTGCCACCCTCTGGTACATCCCTTCTCCCTCTGGGCTGAGCCGACATCCTCACAATTAGGGATGTCAAAGAAATTCGCACCACACTCAGATGGGTCAGGATTTCTGGGAGGCTGCCCCACGGACGCCGCAGCAGACCGGCGTTCCCAGATTGCACAGAGCCTGCGGGGCTTGCAGAAAGAGTATTTCACTTCACACCATTTTGCACAAATGTAGCCACAGAAGAGGAAACGCACTGAACAGAAATGTACAGTAAAGTGTGCAGATCAGCAGGATGGGAGGACCTGTGCCTTTGGGGCCAATCTGCTCGTGTTTGGGCATGCAAATGCATGCAAATTGGGTGAATCATGGCGGCCCAATCCCCCCCCCCCCCCCCCGTCTGCTAGATTCTCGCCGTTTGCCCTTCTCTCTCACAGTAGCCAGGCTGGGGCCTTTGAAACGGATTTTCTCGGCACCCGCGTATTGCCCCTCGTTGCAACATGAAGTATATCGCAGCGGCTTGGACTGGAAATGGCAAAGGCAGCGGAAACCCATCAGCTTTGCGGAAGGGGCTTCCGGAGGGAGAACACGGCCGATACAAGCTCCATGATTCACCCACGGGGCTGGATCTCTGAAGTGCCCTTGTGTGAGGTGGCCAAGGGGACATCTGTGAATTTGTGCCTGGCCACTGGGCCGCGGGTGCCATTTGGGAAGCAGCCCTTTCATGACCAGGGAGCAAAACTTTGGTTCCGGCCGGCTCTGCTGCCATTCTGGAGAGCCAAAGCGCCACGTCCAGGTGTGCGAATGCCACTGGTCCAACGCACCACCAGCACGCCAAGGCGTGCCCGGTGAAGGCAGGGCATCGGGGGTGGGGGTGGCGGCCTGGTGTAGCTTCGAAGTGCTCCCTTCCCGTCCCACAATGCCCACCGCAGCCTCGGGGAGTGAAGGACAAGCCCTGCCGTGGGAAGGCGGCCCGTGGCAGTCCTACCTGTGTAGCCATTATGCCGTGCTTGATCCCCGTGTTGTGGGTCCCTGTGCCGATGACCCCGGCCGCTGACACATCCGAAACAGCTCCTAGACTGGACCCAAAAGAGACGGGGAATGAGGCACACGGATGCAGAGCAGCAGCCACCGTCATTCCCAAAGGGAGCTGCCGAGGCACCGAAATTAATGAATGTGACATTTGGAACAAAAGGCGATTCGTCGCCACCTGCTCCGGGTCCTGAATCTGCCAAAATGAAAGCCAAGCACGTGTCACAGCACGTCAAGTCAAAGGGAACGAGTACCACAACAAGAAGGAACCTCGGATGGGACGGACAGCAAGCTCTAATATTCCAAAAGTGCCATTCAGCTATTATTTGGAAGGAGGCTTTGATATAGCAGATGTCGAGACAATTCTGAATGTCTTCAGAATTATTGGACAAAAATGGTGGAGAAAAGTTCATTCAAGCCAGTTCAATAATGTTTGGGTACACGGACTCACATGCAGTGTTCAGGCCCATGGAAATCAAATCTATCAGAATCAGTATGCAAGCAAAATGGTCAGTTTTTATTAGTTTCCGGAATAATAAATCTGAGGTTGATGTATGTCTCAAGTTATGGTTTGTGTTACTATAAGGAATTAAAGCCTTCTGTAGTTTTGTCACATTATTTTGTTTATAATGTTGCAATGGAGAAATCGGTGCCAAAGCAATGCATGCAGAGAAAATCTGTATTTATCTTGGTTATTTTATTGCCAGTTCAGTTTTTCAATGTGTAATCCTTTTAGATTCTCTCTGTGTGTTCTTCTAAAGAGGCATTAATGAACTAATTTTAAAAAGGAAAGACAGTGCTCTGGAGGACAATTCACATGGCTGATAATAAAGCTCCCGGATTCTTCCAGACTTCGCATGCATTTATCAATTTCTGGGACAAAAGCATCCCCATGCATGCAAAATTAGCAGGTTCGCCCTGCCCAGCATAATCCTCAGATCCTGTAAAATATGGGGGGGGGGTCCCCCCAATCCCATCCATCCCAAATCAGTTGGAAAAGAGCTTGGGGGGGGGGGGCAAGGATGCCTGGATCAGCCCAGAGGGACCAAAACGCAACCTGAGCTTGCATTCAGATGAAGGATTCTGCCTGGGGGAGACTCTCCGGTCGGTTCAGAGGGGATTCGGTCTTGCTCCCCACTGCAACGCAACGCAAACAGTCCCCAACAGTTCCAGGATGGGCCAAGCGGGTGGCGATGAGCACAAGCAGGACCTCGAGCTGCCGGTGGGGCAGGAGCAACGATCCAAGGGGTGGAGCCTCTTCCTGTGAGGAGGGTCACGATGGCGGGATTGTCCCGCCTGGAACAGTGGCAAGGAAGGCGAGATGCCCCCAGGCTGCCCGGGAGGGTGGCTGCTGGGCGAGGGCGGACAGGGAGAGCTTCTCCGTTCTGTCCCTTTGTGTGTGCACCTGATGGGGGATCCCTGCCGATCGGTGGGGATCCCGGGCAGATTAAAGGAAGGGCTTCTTGCACTGTGCAGAGTGAGTGAAGGAATCCACTCGCGCAAGAGGTCATCAGGGCCACCAATTTGGGCAGCTTTGAAAGGGTTCTGGACAAATTCGTAGAGCAGCGGCTACCAGTGGCGACCAGCCCTGATGGCTCACTGCTGGGCACCTCCCCTATCAGCAGCAGGACGCCAAAGCCCAGCAGCTCCTGGGGCACACGGGTGGGAGTGTCCCCTGAAAGCTCATCCTGCTCTGCAGGTGGTGCGTTGCACTCGGTGGGCCTCAGGTCTGATCCAGCACGGCCATTTGCCTCCAAAGGGATCATCCCCAAAGCCGGTCGGTGGGAGATAGAAAGGAAGGATGTCAGGCATTCATCATCTGGACAGCTCTTGGACAGCTTCAACGGGACTGGACAAATTCATGGAGGGGAAGGCCATCCAAGGCTACTAGTCCTCATGGAGACATGCCACCTCCAGCATCAGAGGGAGGGGGCATGGGGGATGCAGCACCCCAGCCCTTCTTGGGGGCTTCTCATTGGGTTGGCCCCTTCAGGAACTGAAGGCTGGCCTGGATGGACCCCTGATATGATCCAGCAGGGCCCTTCGTACGCGCTTGCTCGCAAGGAAGCTTATTTTGCCTTGTACCTCAGGGCCAAGCCATACATGTCAAGGAGGGGTTAGCCCGTTTCAACTGAGAGAGGAGGCTTCCGCAAGGGACACCCCCCGCCCCAGCCCCATTCAAACAGAGGGGGCATGACCACTCCTCCATTCGGAGCCGCTGTCCCCCCGCACATGTGGCCAAGCCAAGAGGCCGATGCCGGTAGCAACTCCATCTTGGCACAGGCCCTCAGACGCACATGGGAAGCGCCAGGCCGTGGCTGCTCAGCTGCGCGTTCAGGTCCGAGAGCAGGATCCCCGCTTCAACCGTCACCTGCTTCCGCTCTTTGTCCACCTGGAAGAGATGCAACGGCAGTTGTTTGGATCAAGCACCCGGCTGGGTGGATGCGTCTCCGAAGGCCGTGGGCACGAGAAACAGTTTCCGTCGCTGAAGTTTGCCTCTTGATGCTGAGTCACTCGTACAAAGCGGCCTGTGACATCGGTTGCCTAAGCGGACGTCTTTACGAGGACGCTATTCCTATAAACTGCTTTTTCAAATATAGCGTCCGGCTCTTCTAGACAAATCTGGCCTGCTTAGTCTATTTCCCCAGAAGCTGCTATTGTGTTTACCAGCCTCCGTGCTCCTTGGAGGAGAGCTGTGCAGGAGCCCCTTCTGTCTGTGGCAGAGCGCAGCCGCAACATTCCTGCGACCCCCGCAGGTTTAACCAGGGCCACGTGAAGGGACTGTGCTGCGTTCACTGCGCTGGGAATGTGACCTCGCTGCAGAAGGCGGAGGCGCTGGGAAGGAATTGGCCCTCGAAGGGCCCTCAGGACCTGTGAGGGCTTGTTCTTTCTGCTTGATTCACTATGCACAGATTTGGTGGAGCAAAGGGGGTGGGGTGGGGGTTAAAAGGGGAACATGTGAATTGAGGGGATGTTCAGGAGGAGGAAGAGAAGGAGAAGGAGATGATGCAGGAGGAGGAGGAGGGGAAGGAGATGATGGAGGAGAAGGAGGAGGAGGAGATGATGGAGGAGGAGGAGAAGGAGAAGGAGATGATGGAGGAGATGATGGAGGAGATGATGGAGGAGAAGATGGCGGAGAAGATGGAGGAGGAGGAGATGATGGAGGAGAAGGAGAAGGAGATGATGGAGGAGATGATGGAGGAGATGATGGAGGAGATGATGGAAGAGAAGATGGAGGAGGAGGAGAAGGAGAAGGAGATGATGGAGGAGATGATGGAGGAGAAGATGGCGGAGAAGATGGCGGAGAAGATGGAGGAGGAGGAGATGATGGAGGAGAAGGAGAAGGAGATGATGGAGGAGATGATAGAGGAGATGATGGAGGAGATGATGGAGGAGATGATGGAGGAG